ATGGTAAACTGTTCCTGCTGTTGCTAGACTGGAGCAAAGCTTTTGATCGTATCAGACCAGCGGGGCTACTGTTCGCACTCCGCCACTTCCGAGTACCACCCGCCATGCTGAACATGATTGCCGCGATCTACAAGGCGCGCAAGTTTGTCGTCAAAGATGGGGCAACAACCTCATCGCAAAAGTGTCAACCAGCTGGAATTGCACAAGGTTGTCCTTTATCTCCTTATCTGTTCGTAATCGTTGTATCGGTGCTTCTCGAGGCCGTCGACAAGGACTTCCACGCGCAGCCGGGCATCTTCAAGAATAAGCCGTATGTGGTTACTAATGACGTGCTCTACGCCGACGACACGCTGCTCGTGGCACAGTGTCCAGAGTCACTTCAGAGGCATTTTCATATCGTGTCAAACATTGGGAAAACTTTTGGGCTCGACCTGAACGCTGGCAAAACAGTATTATTGAAAATCAGATCGGATGGTACGGTTTTGGGGCCGAATGGAGAAGAAATCCAATCTAAAGACGACGTTGTTTATCTTGGTGGCCTCTTAAGCGCAGATGGTCGGCCCAAGGCTGAAATAACGCGCCGCCTCGGAGAAGCAAAAGGAGCATTTGACAAATTATGTGATGTGTGGAACCACGCAAACATGACCAAGCAGCACAAGCTACGAGTACTGCAAGCCTGCGTCTTCTCCAAATTATTGTACGGATTGGAATCTTGTGTATTATTGCAAGCAGACAAGAACAGACTGGATGGATTTCAAGCCAAATGCTACCGCAGAGTACTGAAGATCCAACCGGCATTCCTATCTTTCTTCAGCAATCAACGTGTCCTGCTTGAAGCACAATCTCCTCCATTGTCAACTATACTATTGGAGAGGCAGCTTAAATATTACGGTAAATTAGCAAGGGCAACTTCGCAATCGTTGCCGAAAGCAATGGTGTTCCAGCCAGGCGAGGCGCACTCCCTAATGCCACGGGAATGGCGGTCCCTGAAGAATCGAGGCAGACCGCGCTTGCAATGGACAAGTTACATGCACGCCCGCGCGCTGAAAGTCGCAGGAGACGACCCCGACCGCCTGCAGATTTTATTGAATTCTCCTCCAAGGGAATGGGATGCAGCTGTCAAAGAGTATTGTAAAAAGTCAGTGTGACTGCGATGAGTTCCCTCGCTCTGCCCATTCGCCTCCGTCCTCCCTGTCCCCTCCCCGCCCCCCCCACCCTCTTCAGACGGAGTGTTGCTGCTTACCCTCGCGCGCAATTTGCGCAAAGCTTGCAAGTGGTTGCCGGCCGAGGCCCAGTGACATTTTCCACGTATGCATGTGCACATTTCCTGCCGATGCGCCGTCTGGGCGCGGCTCTTTGTTGTTGAATATTATTACTTCTAAAGAAATATTATTGTTGAGACCCCTGGTGCGCGACCCCCCTCCAAAACCTAGGCCGCAGCCTCATTTCCTTCAATTTCTAGCGAAAGCTTCAGAAAAGTGGATTGTCACCGGATCCGGTTGTTTTGTTGTAATCCGTTTTCCCTTGCAAAAAACACTATAAAATGAAAATTCTTGTTCTTACTTGATCAAATTGCAAGAATCCCTTGCAAAAAAAAAGGTAAAGTGGACATTCGTGCGCGCAAGACGAAATCCTTCCAAAACCTTAGGTTTCGTAACGATTTTAACATAACAACATCAAAAACCCAATGGTTTTTTAAGAAAAAATTGTCAAAATGTCCTTCCGCGCGCGCTGTCCGAATCCTACAAAACCAATGGTTTTTCAACATTTATGTTACATGAGCTCGCGCGAGCTACTTTTTCTTGTTCTAACATAATCAAATTTCAAAAATCCCTTGCAAAAAATAAGGTAAAGTTGACATTCGCGCGCGCAAGACGAAATCCTTCCAGAACCTTAGGTTTCGTAACGATTTCAACATAAAAACATCAAAAACCCAATGGTTTTTCAAAAAAAAATGTCCAAATTTCATCCCGCGCGCGCTGTCCGACTCCCACAAAACCAATGGTTTTTCAACATTTATGTTACATGAGCTCGCGCGAGCTACTTTTTCTTGTTCTAACATAATCAAATTTCAATACTCCCTTGCAAAAAAAAGTAAAGTGGACATTCGCGCGCGCAAGACCAACAAAAAACACGACGATCTCAGGAACTTGCCCCAAAAATGTGACCAACTCCGCTCTCTCTGTCTCTCTCTCTGTCTGCTCTCTGTCTCTCTCTCTGTCTGTCTGTGTCATGTATTGTATGTCACAATTGCAGGATGCTGGGCACACGCGCGCCCCGAATAAGTGACCAAGTTCTGTGGGTGTGTACCCCACGCCAGTGTAGTAGCCACGGTCGTCCGCACGCCACGAAGTGAAGTGTCCCAACGTCATAGGGCGGGAAGCTGGGTTTGGGTGGTCGCGAAGAGTCGTTTGGATATTTGGTAGAGCTTGAACTGCCCCCCCACGAAGTGGGGGTATTGTCTCGCGTCGCATGAAAACCCTGGCACTGGTGAGAACACTGAGCGTTCGGGTAAAATGATTGTTGTTGTTGTTGTTGTTGTTGTTGCACCGCCTGCCGAGGCCCAGAAAACTGGCCCCCAGGCGGTGGTCATGTATAAATTCCCGCCTCGGAAAGAGGGATCGCGCAATGGCACGCTGGATGTGGGGCTTCCTGCGCGTCGCCGCTGCCTGCTGGCGCTCATCCCGCGCCGGCTGCCGCGCGTGCTGGAGCTCCTGTGCACGAGATGGCGGCAGGTCCTTGTCGCCTTCCGCCGCCTCAGCCAGGTGCTGAGCGAAGGCAGTCGGGTCCTCCCAAAAGCGCGACGACCACTCCCCCTTCCTGAAATTCCTATGTCTATTCTTTTGCCCCCCCCCACCGCGACAGCTACCAATGGAAAAGTTGTGTGCTTGAAGTGGTCCACGTATTGGCGAGCCCCTCCCTGAAATCCACGAAGAAAGCACCATCTTCCGCCGCGCTCCGCAGACGCTCCAGGGCCAGCCTTCGGTCCTGGGCGAGAGTGTGCAGCGCCGTGGGGGTGCGCGCTGCGGTGGTCACGGCTTCCAGTGAGGGGACGGCGCCCGCTGGGAACCGCGCGGCAAGACTCAGAAGCTCAGAGCGTGCAAACGAGCTGGGAGGGAGTCTGGGGAGCGAGTGGAGGGCTAAGAGCTCCGATCGAGGCATCCGAGGAAGAGGCACAAGTTGGGCTACATACAAGAGCGTCGATACCGCGTGGGGGGCGTACAAACGGACTGCGCTGTCGGGCGGGGCGTTGGTCGTTGGAATCTGATGCGTGCGGCTCCACCACTTGTATCGTGGGCCGTGCCACTGCAAAGCTCGATCGGCGCCTGGTCCCACGCACAGGCCTACGTAGCGAGCGTGCGAAGCAATCTTGAAACTCCCCCACTCCTCGCCCAGCAGACGCAGTTTCTCCGAGAGTCGAGCCACGACGGGAGGTGTCGGGAGCGCGTAGAGCGGCACAGCTGCACGTTTGGTGGCCTGCAGCGCCAAGCCAGCAAGGCGCCTCGCGGCACAGAAAGGGGCCGACAGGCGGCTCAGAGCACGGACGTCGTAGCTGACGACGCCCGCGTCGTCCGCGCAGCCACCGGCGTAGCCGCCGCTCGGCTTCGGGAACGCCGCGCAGATGGAGCGCAAGACGGGCGCAACGCCGCCGTGGCCGCCGCTGGAGTCGTCACCGTCGCCGCCGTCGTCGCCGCCACCGCCCTCCTTTGTAGAGTAGAGGTTGTGATCGTGGTCGCGGTAGTCATCGTCCTCGCCGCGCCTACTGGCGTCGTCGCCGCCGTTCCCGACGTCGTCGTCATAGTCCTTGCCTTCGTCGGTCCATAGCCGCGGCCCAAGCCACTCCGGATGCCGGGCATCCCTGGGCCACACCGGCCAGGGCAGGGGAGAAATCGGAGTATCGGCATCGGCTGGAAGTACAAGGCGCTGAAAATCCAGACGCATCCGATCGGGTAGGCTTAACCGCAAAAGAGCGCCGGTGAGCCAGATCCGGAGGAGGATGAGGAGGAGGAGGAGGAGGAGGAGGAGGAGGAGGAGGAGGAGGGAGAGGAGGAGGAGGAGGAGGAGGAGGAGGAGGAGGAGGAGGAGGAGGAGGGGGAGGAGGAGGGGGAGGGAGGAGGAGGCGGGATGGGCAGGAGGATGGCAAGAAGGACGACGACGACGGCTTGCAGATGGGCTGGAAGGAGGATGTGGTGTTAGGGGGACGCGCGAGCAGGAGGCTGAGGAGAGGAGACAGAAGGAGGAAGGGGGATGGGAGGGGAGGATGACTTGAAGCGACTTAGCCCCGTGAGTGGACAGCTGTGGACTGCTTGGTTTACCCAGAGGCTCAGTCGGGAGATATACCCAAGGCAAGGGGCAACCACCCCGCACTCGGAGCTGACGCCCTGAATACGACATGGCCCCGCCCAGCCCTACAGCTGCGCCTCCCTCCTGGGGACTGGGATGCATACCACTCTCCCCGTGGACCGTCCCGCGCGCACGACAGCACCGCCGCTGCCGCCCCCGAGCTCAGCACGAGCTCGCCCCAGGATCTCGCTCCTCCGATCGCCCGAATGGTCGGCCTCCTGAACACCAGCAGGGACTCAGTAACTGCGAGCAGGCACCAGCGAGCGTCAATCCCCACCAGCGAACAACTACAGATGCAAGCGGATCAGCGGCGGGGGTAGGGATCGGACTTCGTTACGACGAGAGTGACGTCATGATGCGGTTGGCTCAGGACCACGTCCAAGGGTTTCCAAGAGTATCTTGCAGCTCTTGTCTCTGGAGTCAGGGTGTGGCAACAGGGAATACTGAAGACCTCCTGCTCATCGGATTTGTCACTAAGGCGAGTCACGAGGACACGGGGACGAGGACGATAGAGGCCCGAGTAGACGGGGTCTCAAGATCGCGCCGCACCGCCGATGCATCGCGATGAATCGGTGCCGTCGGCGATGGATCGGCGACGTCGAGGTGGAAAACGTTGGGCTCCGCATCGAGCCACACCGCAGATGCATCGGCGGTGCGGCGCGATCCCCCCGACCCCCATCTGCTCGGACCCCCTCTGGGAGGCCTGCAGGGGTCAAGAGGTGGCAGGCGGACTGGGGGCGGCCGAGCGCCGGGATGAAGTGGTACTGCACGTCCGGGTGCCGCCTGCCCGGGCTGGAGCGGATGAACCCGCCGACCTCGCCGGAGGCACGGGCCCTGCGCCGACCCCGGCCCTGGCCAGGCCCATCCTCCGCCGCTGGTCTTAGGATGTTCCAACTTCCTTTAGCCTTGACCACCAGGAAGAATGTCGAGCACCATGAAGGTACCGAAACTCGAGGGTTTTTCACGTGTCGGGCCCTGGGAGACGCTATTTCGACACTGTTTAGATACTCTTTCGACACTTTTCCGGGTGCTCGAAATTATTTCTGGGAGGTGGTCCGTAAGTACGATGGGAGCGACATAACGCTGGTCCTCAGGACATGTGCTGGCGCCAGCGTGTGCGGGCGGAGGGCGTGGACACATTCTCGGGCCCAGGGGGCCGAATCCGCCACGCGCCGAGGCCCCCGATAGGCTCGATGTCCCCCAGGCGCTGGCCAGGGACAGCTCCCCCGCTCGGCAGGAAGCTCTTCGGTGCGGCGCGGGCAGCGCGGCGCGGGCCGCGGGGCTGAGCGGGGTACGCACACACGCTGAGCTTTAAGTCGGGCGTGTCCCCCTACAGGGGGATTTTCGACGAAAAACAAAAAATATTCAAAATAATACTCCCAAATGGTCCAACAAAAAAATGTTAAATCAAAATTGTCCGCAGACTATATTTTGACTATTTTTCAATACTCCTCCTGTAGAGGGACGGGCCCGACTTCAGCCGAGCTGGCACGCGCCCCGAGGACCGTCGACTCGGGGTCCCACGGGCCTCGCGCTGCACGCCCCCGCGCTGCTCGCCGCGCGGCCCCCTCCGAGGCCCCGCGCCGCCGCGGCCCTGAAGAGAGAGCCAGCTCCGCGGCCTCTGCCTCGAGGCGCGCGGCGCCGATCACCCTCGCGCCCCCGCGGGCGGCCCAGAGTAAAGGGGAACTGGGACACACAAACAAATAGACACAAATAACCAGATTCTCCATATTTCCCCATATTTTCTGAGTCATTGTCTTCCCCCCCACTTCCTATATTTTCCTATATTTTCTGGGGAATCGACGATTCTCTGTGTCTGTGTGTTTTTCCCCTTCCTGAAGAGGAAGAGGGGCCCCGAGGGAGAAGCCAGTGGACCCCCGGAGGAGGGGCCTTCCCCAGGACCAGCCGCCTCGCCCCGCATCGTGCAGCGCGGGGCCCCCGGGGCCAGGAGAGGGGGCCTGGAAGGCCCCGGCGAGGGAGAGAACTGGGCCCCCCTGTTGCCCTCGGGATCCCTCGCCCTCGCGGCGACTGGCCCCTGGGCCTGGGATGGGCCCGGCCAGGACGCACGTGCCGGCGCAGGGCCCGGCGCCCCGCGGCCTCGAAGTGGTTCGTGGCCGACATGCCCTGGCCCATCAGGAACCAGCCTGGGAGGCTTGCAGAAACCAAGGCGTCCAGACGGCTGGCCTGTCAAAGGACGACAGCAATGCCATGGTACAGTCAACCCGTGCAGTAAGGATGCGCGGTAAGGATGCAAGGGCCTTGGACGCCCATGCCGAGGCTCTTCGAGCGGGGCTGGCCTTCGAAAGTGGTTGAGGATGGGCCGAAGATGACCGAAGAGACAAGGATGCAAGGGTACACTTGGGAAGTCGCTCATCCTTACTGTGCGGGTTGACTGTATGACGGGCTCGGGAGAAGTTCGGGGAACGCCGGAGCTTTGCAGCGGCCGTCGGCCGTTCCCCGCACTGGGCCCCTCGTTTCTGGCCGCACGAGGCGGCAGGAAAGCCTGGAAATCTTGGAGCGCATCGCTGTCATGACTTCTGGCTCCCTCTCGCTCCTCTCGCTCTCGGCGCCCGAGGCCCGATCCCTGGGCCCCGCAGGAAGGCACCTTGGCAGAGGACGCACTGGGGGCGGAGAGCGGGCCCCCGGGGGTGGTGTCGAGGCCTCCCCGGGACCCCCGTCGTGGAAAGATCGCGGCAGCGGCAGAGGAAGAGAAAGCTGCACAAGCACAAACCTGCAGAGGTGCGCGCTGACTTCTTGCATCGGCGCTGGCGGCAGCGCCACGGGGCCCCAGCCCAGATCCAAGAAGTCCGCGCGGACTGCCAGAAGCTGATGATTACGCAGCTTGTTGTTCTTCGAACCGGAGTCTGGGAATGCCCGTGGCCCAGGGTACTTCCAATGTGGTGCCCCCGGGGCCATTCGGTAGCCTCGGGGGTCCCTTCCGGGCCTTTGAGGATCAGGCATGTCCCAAGCAGACCCGGCACCTGACACCTTGGGACCGCGGACCGCTTGTGCCGGCAGCCGGCAACCAAGGCCAGCGGTCACGGCGTTCCACGGCTTCCGGAAGAGGTACCTTGGAGGCCTCACAGACGGGTTCCGAGCAGAGGAGGCACCTGGACCGCGCCGCATCGCCGATGCATCGGCGACTTCGGTGATGCATCGGCACCGTCGGCGTGGAGAAGATTGGGACCCACCTCCAGCCGCATCGCCGATGCATCGGCGATGTGGCGCGATCCTTCTGCCCCACGCGCTCGGACCCAAGTTGGGAGGCCTGGCCACCTGGAGAGGCCCCCGAACCCGCCGAACGTGGCGGCGTAGGGGTAGAGGGAGGTGTGCCTGGGCATCGCTCGACCGATCCCCATCCCCCACTGGCGTGGTCTTGGGGCCCCGCTGCCCGACGCACCCCCCAGGGTGGGGGGCATGCGCTGCTCCCCTCGGGCTCCGCGGGACATCTCCCCCAGCCGGGAGCGGTGGGCTGGTGGGGCCAAGATTCCACGGCCAGCTCCTGAAGGGGACCTGGGACACGCAAATAGATACACACAAGTAAAACTATTCCCCATATTTTCCCATATTTTTTGGGTTTTTGTCTTCCCCCCCACTTCCCATATTTTCCTATATTTTCTGGGGGATCGACGATTCATTGTGTCTGTGGGCTTTTTCCCTCCTGAAGCTTAGAGGCACAACGAACTACATGAACACGATTTCTCTCAGGTGAACGCGCGGATTGCTCTTGCAGCGGCGCTGGACCCTCCCTCTGGCGCGCGAAGCGCGCCACAGGTGGCGCCGGAGGCGTGCCGCTGGGAGAGCCCGGCGCCGATCCAAGAAATCCGCGCGGACCTCAGAGAAATCATGTTTATGCCTTTTCTTCTTCTTCTTCTTCTTCGACCACTGGGGATGGGGACGGGCTAAACGATATTTCGCGGGACCGGTGCTCCCCTCGGGTTGTTGCGCCGTTCCCCTCGGGCTTCGCGGGACATCTCCCCCACTGGGGGCGGTAGGCTGCTGGGGCTGAGATACCAAGGCCCACTGGGGACGTGGACAGGCCAAACGATGCTGAGCACCTGGCGAGGTACTGCACGTAGAACTCCAGGTGGTCGGACAAGTTGCGCCCGACCTCCGGCAGCGCGTGCCGCACCTCGACACCGTGCTGCCGGAGCTCCGCTGGGTCGCCCACGCCGCTCAGCATGGCCGGTGGCCGCAACAGGGGCGGATAGCTCAGGGAGGTCGTGTTGCGGGGGGAACGCAAAGGGTAGGGTAGAGAATCAGCTCACGTGGCTGACTTCCCAAGCGCCTCCTGGCGCCGGGAGGCGTCCACGTATCGAGGGATGGGCCCGGCGGCGGGGCCGAAACCAGCTACATACAGCAAATTTCGTACCCCCCCCCTACCCCGTCCCTGGTATGCGCCGGGGCACGTCGAGGCGGGTGTGCGCTGCGATCGCTGTAGCATATGCGCGCGAGCACCAGCACATGGGGGGGTCCAGGCTCCCCCGCCACGTACGATCGTTACCAGCACCTGGGGGGTCTGGGCGACGACCGCTACGCGCCAGAGGATAAAACATAATCCGACGACATGGTTTTTTTCGATCCGGCCGGTCTTCCTCGATGTCGGCCCTGGGAGGCCGTTTCCGGGCCGCGGGGCAGTCAAACACGGATCCAGGACGCAGGACTACCCAATGGGGGAGGAGTTGGGACCTCTTGGGCAGCGGATTGAAAAATCTTATCCTCGGAGGTCTGGGTGTGCGCTCAGGGGTCCCAACCGCCCATGTCTTTGACAAGGCGCTCTGGCGAATACATGCAACGCCCGCCACTTGAGCGGAGAACACAAAGGACCTCACGCAACAAAGAAGAACGGCTTCAACTGCGCAGACATTCGCGCGCAAGCTTCCCGCGTAAGGCCGCGCGTGAGCGCCCTCTTCTCCGCGCGGTGTACCGCGCTGGCGGCCCGCGCAAGCCGCGGCATGGGGTCGCCATGGCATCTTGCGTAGTTAAGACCCGTTTCTTCTCGTCGCTCACTTGACTTGGCGGTCCGCTCCTTCTGCCTCCGCCGGAATGAGCAGTGTGGCCAGGCCATCGAAATCCCCCAAGGCCTCACCGCACGGTCCGTCACCGCACGGTTTGGGGACCCTGGAGGCTCCAGTCGCCCGAGTCGTCCTCGGAGAACGACCCGAGTCCCAAAACCGCGCGGTGACCCCGAACCCCTACCGACTCACCACACGGTGTGGTCACCACCCCGTCGGGGGCCCCCCAGGGTCCTCGGGGATCCTCTGACCCGGGTCCATCCAGGCCCGGGTCAGTCAGGCCTTGCAGAATCCTGCAAGATCCTGCACCCAAACCCGGGTCAATGCGAAGGATCCTGCAAAATCCTGCAGGATCCTGCGCCCAAGCCCGGGTCAGTGCGACCCTGGCCCTGCAGGATCCTGCAGGATCCGGCGCACTGGCTGACCCCCGCTCGCATGGACCCCCGTCTCCAAGGCTCCCGAGGCCCGCCCCTCCTGCCTCCGCCGGCATGAGCAGGTGTGGCGAGGCCACCGCCCCAGCGCTGAGGATGACCTCCTGGCCCGCCCGCACCTCGTGCCTGTCGCCGGCGGCGTCCACGACCTCGACCCCGGTGGCCCTGCCGCAGGGGGCCGGGCAGCGGCTGGCGGGCAGCTCTGAGCTG